GTAAGAACAAGTAAACATAGGCACCATGAAGTCTGCGTTCAGTTAGCTTGAATTGGAAATACTGTTACTTCTCATGAATTTGTTCGTTCTTTTTGCGTAGATTCTATTGTGTTTATTAGTCGTTTAAAGAGCTCGTGACGCGTTTTAATAATATATAAAAAAAAGGAAACCAAAGGAAAAGAAATTAGTCTGTCGGAAAGAAAAATTATGATTGAAAAATTGGGCAAACTATTGGAAGAACGTGTTCTTCTGTTTAGCGCGTCGTAAACCGGTATTTTAACGTCAAAACCGCGATCTGGCCGTCCGAAAATATTATCAGCGTGGAAGAACAGACAATAATAAATATGGTGAAAGTTAACCCTCGAATTACGTCCACAAAGATTATTGAAAACGTAAAGATAACCATTAAAAAATCAATTTGTGCCGAAACTGCTAGAAAAATTTTACGAAAAGCTTGATATTATGGTAGAGTCGCTCGAAAGAAACCATATACTTCACTTGTAAACAGGCGAAAGCGCATAGAATTTTTATTCATTTTTCATACTTTTATAAATAAGTCGCCGAAATTCTGGAGACAAGTAATATTTTCGGATGACAGTAAATTTTGAATTTTTGGCTTAAAAGGTCGACAAATTGTGTGGCGCAAATCAGGACCTGCCCTTGAAAAGCAAAATCTTGTTGGTACAGTTAAACACGGAGGTGGCGGAATTATGGTGTGGGGTTGCATGACGGCTGGTGGGTGGGCAGCTTGAATTTATTGAATCCACAATGGTTAAATGGGGTTATTTGAACATTTTAAAAAACAATTTGAAACAAAGTGCAGAGAATCTTGGATTATCTTCGACGTTTTGGTTCCAACAAGATAAAGACCCGAAGCATACTGCGGAAATACTTAGACTTTGGCTATTGTACAATGCTCCTAGACAACTTAAAACGCCCCCTCAATCACCTGACCTCAATCCTATTAAGCATCTATGGGATCTGTTGGAAAAAAGAATTCGTCGGCATACAACATACAACGCGGCTATCCAACAAAATATTGTATTTAATTTTTCTTTAACATTTTTAATATTTTTGTAACTAATTTTAAAGCTGAACGCAGACTTAATTATGCCTATGTTTACTTACACTAAAATCCCGTTATCAAAAAAATGAAAATAGGAATATACATTTTTGTTTTTGCATGTTGAAATTAAATAAATATATAAAGAGAAATACATGTAGAAAATTTGAACTGAATTACCTATTTACAATGTGTTTTTACTTCACTTAAAAAATAGTGTCGGGTGAACGCAGACTTTATTGGCTATGTGTATAGTCACCACAAACAGCACAAAAACTCTTCGGATCATGTAAACAAGTTCTTCTCAATGTAGACATAGCGGTTTATTTATGAAATTTAGTAATAGTTTGGCCTACAAATGAATTCAATTAAGCCGAGTAACGTTATTTTAAGAAGTACCTGTATCACTAAAACTAGAGCTGCTAGAAAGAAACTGAGGGTTGATTTGCAATCAGCGTCGTCAAATTAGTAAGATACAGTATACAAACTTCATAAAACAAAAACAGTTTAATTATGTTTACCAGCGATTTAATCTCGTAAGCTGAGATCGCTTAAAGCGCCGCTTGACTATTGCTGAGTATGGCAATACTTTCATTGCGATAGTTGCATTGAAGATTTAGGGCTTTTTCTGTAATGCCGTAAATACTGGCAACACTGCACAGTGTGCACTGCTGATTTTATGTTGGCTGATGCCCATTGCATGAAACTGTTAAAAACTGCGCATTTGAAAATTTGCATAAAAATGTGCGAAATATTTCCTTTTAATACTCTCACTGACGAGTTAACATAGATAGCAAAAATGATAATTTTCAATTAGAAAGGTACTAAAAGAGAATGAACCGTGTAAAAAAAAAAACAGAAATTTATAAATTGCGAATGGCTTTAAAGTCAAACGGATTATTCCAAAAATGATGGCTTTAGTTCACTTGACGCAATCTCTACTACTATCTTTATATATGTAAATCTTCAGTAGGTGAGTTTGTAATAGAACTCCTAAACGGATTCGGATGATCTTATTTGTGTGTATTCAAGGAGGTTTAAGAATGGTTTAGACTCACAATTCGATCAACTAGATAATGTTTCAACAATGAATTTATTTATTTATAAATTGTTGTTGGTGTCTGATATTCAAAAGTATATTTGAGTTTTAGTTGCGTCTGGCAGTTGGCGCTGAGATCAGATTCTAAGATAGCATAAGTATAGTTTAAACTATGACGACTATAGATATGTGTATGGTGTATAGTGGTTAAACATTCTTACTGCTATGCTACGCTATACGATACATATCTGAATGAAGATTCATAAATGATAGTTCGGCTGAATACATTTATTACTTTTTGGTGCATCCATTACTTTCTTCTTACGGATATTACTCAAAACTATTTATTTTGAATTTTGTTACTGTTTCGAAGTACATATTTTACATAATTCTTCATAGAATTTTCCTAACCTACATAACTATTCTAATACGTCTGTCGAGTCTGCTAGTATCCTGCAAAATTAAAAAATATCCACAAATATAATAAAACAATAATATAAAATGAAATAATATTTAATGAAATTTTTGCTACCACAGTTGGTTTTGGTGTAATTTTTAGTGCAACTACTATTCAAATGTTGCAAGTTTTGCGCGTTTCTGCGTACCTGCTACGACAGTGATGGTTTTTCGACCTTTCAATTTTGGCTAAGGTTTGCCTTTCCGAATTCCGTTGCATAATGCATATTGCGAAGTTTGCATTACCGAAAACACTCTTATTTCTACACACCGACTTATAGCAAAAACATCTGTTTATAAGGTGCTTGGAAAACGTCCCATGGGTATGGATGGCACTAATGCTTTCCGACGTTTCCGAGCCGTCAGTGTATCGCTTAATGGCGCTATTCCTCAGTAGTAGGTCGAGCATGGGGTTACTCCATTCGGCTTTACAGCCGAGGATAACTTTAAACTACTTTGTGGAGTTAAAATTTTTGCTAATGCCATCCCTCGGGAGAAGAGCCAGTGGTGCCTTATCACTTAAGGCCTTCAATAGTTGAGACGACATTACGTTCTCTCTTACATACCTTTCTGCTGACATGTGAAGCATTTAATGATTGGTATATACCCAACTGATAATCCTTGGCAGCAGCACCAAAATTTGCTGGCCAAGCGAATCCACGCCTCACATAAGTGCTTTTGTAGCTTTAACCATGGGTAGATCCATATACTTGTTCCACCGAAAAGTGGAATCCAAAGTTAGATATTTGGCCTCATTAGTCATCTTTAACTCTCTACCACCAAGGAAATGGGTTCGTAGGTCTTAGTAAAAGGGACGATGATTGTTTTAGGTTGATGTTTAGTCCAAACTTGGGACTACTTATCGTTGCAGTTTTTTTTACTTTACCCGTGGATACACATGAACGGCAACAAATAAGGAGAGAGAGCTCTCTCTAGCACATAAATAGGTATATGTATTTATACGTATGCTGACGATCTGCTTGTAGTAAAATTTAGTAGAAGAATACGAAAGATGGTGTTACCTTGACTTATTCGTGCAATTGCTTTAAATTATGGGACTCGTTATGGTTACATTGATCATAGAAACAGTAGATGAAAAGAAAAATATTTGCTTCGTAAGGAGTCTCTTTCAATCAAGATATAAAAGTGGGTTATTGATAATTAAACGAAAAGTAATACAACATTTTTTTTTATAACAAGATGATGTGCTTTACATCATCCATTAGAGCGTTCTAGCCTGAGTCTCAAAAAGCCTGTAGCTTCGATATTAGTATGTTGTGTGTCGATTAAAAGTAATATAGGCAAGATTGTGACACATGCTCAATATTCCATAGATAATTTGTTAACCAACTCTTCCCCTCCTTTCGTTCATAACGTTACGAACTAAAACCCACCCAGAAAACCTAGAAGAAAACTAAAATATGTATATATATATATATAAAGGGTCTATCAATAGGGATGACGTGAATTTGACAGCTCGGACGACCATGTATGTTTATGGATTTGTGTCAAATTTTAATTAATGCTATTCGGATGAGTCAAAACCTGTGGTTCAGGAAGCGCAATTGCATACCCAAAATTGACCGTTTGGTGAGGATTGAGGTATGGCATCATCGGGCCTTATTTCCTTCGAAATGAGGCAGGAAATCCCGTTACCATCAATAGCGAGCGTTAAAACACGATGTTTACTGACTTTTTTCCTGGTATTAGATGCAATCAACACAGACAGACTCTATTTCCAACAAGACGATGCATCGCCTCATGTTTCACGTCTAAAGATGGAAACACGTCTAAAATTTGTGGATTCAATAATTTTGGCCCAGTCAAATGACCGTCAAGATCATGCGATTCAACACCTCTAGATTCTTTTCTCTGCGGGTATGTTAAATCAAAGGTATACGCTAATCATCCAGCAACATTCGAGGATCTCAAAGACAACATTCAGCGCACTATAGACGTGATGCTGCACCGGGTCATCGAAATTTTGCCCCAGGAGGGCTATTTGGCCGACATTTTGTTCAAATCATAAATGACATATTATCTGCATAACAAAAAACCAGAACCCATTTTGACCAAATTTGAGTATTTTGTGTACATCTCGTCGTTCTTGTTGGCAGACCCTGTAAGCGATTGTCCGTCCGTTTATCTGTATATACGCAATTTGGAATTTTGCACACGTCGTTTTCTCCTTATGAAGTTGCTCTTATGTCGAAACTGCCGATATCCGACTACTACAGCATACCTATATTTGCCATACAAAACTGTCGATCAAAATAAAGTTTTTGTATGGAAAACTTTTTTATTTAACAAAATATTTTCGTGACTTGGATCTACTTGGTTTTTTATCGGGGCGTTATTGCAACGCTAATAAAGAAGAAGAGAAACGGAAAATTAAGAACCCAAATACTGAAAAATGTAAAAATGGAAAGTTTTAAAACACCTGTTTTTTTTCAGTGCATCTTCTTCTTTGCTTGTGCCTTCCGTTTTCCACCACAAAGTGTTCATCAAAGTTAGCTTGGCAAGACAGGTGTATGCAAGTGCGTGCTCTTCCATGCGTAACTATTTACCTCTAGACATTTTCAGTAAAGTACGATCAGCTGAAAGACCTGGAAGCACAAATAGTGTTTCAAGAAACAGAAAGTGTAAAAAATATAAATATTAATAAATAAGTAATTAAAAAGTTATAAACATTCTCCTATCTTTAAGACAAAATATAAAAGTGTTTTTTGTTAAGTTCAAAATTGTTGTGTTTTAAAAATAATCGAAATTCAAGTAAAAGTAAATTGTGTGTGATTTCGAAATCGCTGATGCGTGGCTATTTAGTTGTTGCGAAAACAGTAAAGTACCTCAAAGAAAATGATTAAATCTGCTAAGCAGAAGGCTTGCATCGAAATGACGGGATCAAAGTTGAAAATAAGAACAAACACTCTAGAACAGTCGAATGTCAAGGAGTTAAATTCAAATGAAAAGAAAATAGGCTGCGACGAAACTCAGCTTGGGGGAAATATATTAATCGGAAATTATGATGTAAGTGTTGAAAAAAAAAAAGAAAACTGCTTTTATGAATATTGAGTAATTTCACGGTCTGTTGCATTTTCTTGCTAAATCTGGTGTTTTTTTGGACCTCGAAGTTAGCAATTGCATTGTCCTTTCTTAAATAGTATAAATTAATTGAAATCGGAAAAGCAAACAGTTATTTATTAAAATTATATGATATTTCAATCAATTTATTGTTGTTTTGTTAAGTAGACTAGGAAAATTTAAATTATGAAGTACATACCGAGAACACCTTGGCAAATAGAAGTCCAGTAAAAAGAAATCTATTATTTTTCTAATACATGTCTTTAGTAATCTAAATGTATCTAAAGATTTCGCAATAAAAATATAATAGCCATAGACAGTTCTGTAATTGATTGATTCAGTATTGTTTGAGAACGCGTCAAAGATAGACACCACTATAGAGAAAATACGCCATATATAGTCTTTCTTCGATAAAGGCGAAATCGCAAGCCAAGCGACTAAAAATGTGAATCGTGCCTTTGCTCCTGATACTGTAAAAGCCAATTACGCGCAATTTAGGCTTCGTCGATTCTGTTCTGGTGATTTTGTTGTCAAACATGCACCACACTCTGTAAGCCCAGTTTCCGAAAATATCGATTATAAAATAATGAAATAAATAACCATTTGGGGTCATTTAAATAACAATAAAAAAAGAGTTTCCAGTATTATCAAGATAACCACCCGAAGCACTCCGCATTAAATACAAAGCTTTGGCTTTTATACAATTGCCCTTGAGTAATTAAAACTCTGCTCAAAGTTTAGATGCAGAGCCGCCACTAATTTCTGAAGCGGTTGGTTACTAGTAATGAAAAGTGAGTCGCTTACGACAAAGTCAAGCGAAAACAGTTGTAAATGGTGGCCAAGCCAGGATTAACCGTAAGAAAGGTTTTGCTATGTGTTGGGTGGGTGGATTCGAACCTAGTACTAAAAGATTACTATTGCATTGCTCCCGTTTATGTCCAATGATTTTGCTGATGGAAAATTCCCTTTACAATAAGAATTATATAAACGACTGTTCCAGTTTTTTGCCAATGGGGATCAGGGTTTATATAAGAGTGCCACTATGAAATTACCTTCAAAACTGCAACTAATTATCGAACAAAACGGTGCATTTTTACCCAAATCGGATATTCTAACTAGCTAAATGAAACCCTCAATTTAAAGCAGAAATAATAGATATTTTTTTATTAATACTAGAGACATGTTTTGGTTATACTAAACCATAATATTATTTTATGGTTTTAAGGTTGTAAGATACTGTTCTAATGGGAACCAAAGAGAATAACCGACCACTTCTGCTATAAATATAAAATCTATAGATTTTGCTGATTAAAATGTGGTCACTCCAATTCAAGAATTTTGTTTTCTATATAAGTTTTAAGCTATGTAGTGGATAACTGCAGTATACTTCTAGTTAAGGTAATGGGCTTTAGGAAAGAGTTAGACTAACTTTTAAGTCTCTGTTAAAAATCTATGATGATATATAGCTTACATAAGTGACTATCAGTTATTTAATAGCCATGAATTTAGATTCGAGGTTAATTGAGAATGCCTCTCTTTCTTAATAGCATCGGAATATTTTCCTATTAAGTTAATTTGGTAGCCGGAAGCGTCTCCCACCCACTCCCACCACAATTTATACAGTAGAAGTTTCTGCTTGGATTCCATTGGATGACTCTCAAAGACATGTTTTATCATACGTATCACATTAACTATACGTCCACGTTTTCCAAATGTTCGTTCCCTCTTACGCTCTAGTCATGAGACCTACACAAATATCTTCTTAATCTTCATAAATCTTAGTAGATATACAGCTGTATTCATTGTTTACTTTGCCTGTAGCAGCCGCTAAGGTTAGACGTCTTTTTATGATATTGGCGATTTTCGTTTGTTAAAAGCTCACACTTCGTTGCCTGTTCGTGAATTCTTGGTTCAGCCTCCATATTCGCCAAACATGGCTCGGTGTGACTTGTTTCGAATTCTAGAAGTAAAGAGAACCTTAAAGGGCCGTAATTTTACAATATAGCTGAGTATCGCTGAAAGAGCTAAAGGCTATCCCAAAAATCGAGTTTGAGAAGTGAGAGAAGAAGAAAACGATTGGAAGAAGTATAATATCGGAGGACTACATTAAAGGCGACAACATTAATGTATACAAATTAATAAATATTTTTTTCAAAAAAAGATAATTCCCGTTATTTCTTGCACACATCTCCTATAATGACCAATCAAAAATAATTTTAAAAGAGAAACATTTTAGTCAAAATTAATCTCTAACCTTGTTCTTCTTTTAGTTTTTAAAAGAATTGGAAATCACTGATAATGGCATGGATATACTTGATTTGAGCTCTTTGGCACAACTTGAGACCCTCATTTGCAATCATAACAAATTGAAGGAATTGATAATGAATGGAAAAAGTTTAAAAACATTAACGGCCAGATACAACAGTAAGTATTATTAATTTCTTAAATATAAGCAAAGAGGAAAGCCAACCATTGAGTAGATCATTCGGTTCCAGCTTATGTCCATTTAATATAATATAACATGGAAAGAGACTAACAGGTGTGTTATTATAATCTGACCGAAAAACAGTAGGTATCGAGTTTTGTATGTACATTGCTTCTCTTGTTACGGGGACTTCAAGGGAGGGTCTAGTTTGATAAAACTGTAGCCTTTAAAACATATGTATATGTAGGCTGTCACCCGCTGTGTTCATGTTAATTTAAGGACGGATATTGTATGAAAATTTGAAAACTTTCTTTTGAGATGGTGTTAGAATATACTATGGGCTACTGTAAAAAGAATAGCTACTGATCATTACTCATAAAGCACACACTAGACGAGAAGCAAAAGTTGGAAGTTTTCATCAGGGGACCTCGTAATTGCTATTAGACGAACGAAGACTAGCACTTTGATATTATTTTCAGAGACAGAGATGATTCGAGATGCTTTTTTAAGCATCTTGTGGCAGTCAGCCTTTACTCTGAAAAACTCGTAGATAGAGAGGTTTAACATTGTTTCTTATAATTCGACTGTTGCTAGATTTTGCTGTGGGCAGAACTCGTTTGTTTTCCATAACTAAGTTTATTCTTCATTTGCAGAGCTCGTTACAATAAAAACGCTTTCTGCGCCTACTCAGCTCGGAAATATTGACATTTCGTATAATGATTTTGAGGAACTACCGGATTGGTTGGGCGCATGTTGTAACTTAGAGAATTTATATGTCGAACACAATCGTCTCTGGACCATTGATAATATATTCGCTACAGACGGATTTCGCAAATTGCATACATTCAGTTTGGCCTACAATCAGCTAACAACCTTGAATGTTTCAACACTAATTTTCGGCGCTGTTGCACATTTATACCTGCACTGCAATAAATTGCAAAAGCTACCAGACAACTTCTTTGCAATTACACATAAAACACTGAGGTTGCTAAATGTCTCGTGTAATAACCTGTGTGCGGTTGGAGATAATCAAGAGACCAAGGATAACTGGTGCTTGGAAGAGTTATATCTATCGAATAATAATCTAAATGAAAATATATTCTCCACCTTTGTGGGTGCGAGACAGTTACGCATCATACACGCCGCTTATAATAATATACGTGAACTACCTGAAAATATTATACGAAATTGGAATGACTTAGAGGTGCTCGTGTTATCGGGGAATAAGCTACAAAATCTACCGGAAAATATTTGCGTGCTTACGAAATTGGAAGTTTTGCGTTTACATTCGAATCTGCTACACACAACGCCAAGTCTTACGAAATTAGCGAATTTGAAAGTTTTAGATTTGGCACATAATCATTTGGATCACGTAAATCTCTTGAGTATTATGCCAAAGAATATAAAATACTTGGATCTGTCATGCAACCTACAATTACAATTCGATGAGCGACAAGTGCAGATGTGTCAGTCTTTGAAGAAAATGAGTTTAGTGGATGTGAGCGGTAAAAATCGCGCTTGTTTGCCAACAAACAAATTGGCTGAAATGAAAGATAGTAATGTCTTGCGACAACCCTGGACGACCGGATTTACCGAGACGACTGGTAAATGTCGAAAACTGTTAGTTAAACAAATACGTCTTTGTAATTTTGCAGAAGATGAAGGCCTTTTCGGTATGCTCGAATCGGCCACTTTGGGTGCGCTCAACACGGCATTCGTTAATTTAGTGCCACAAATATTATTACACGAGCGTAGTGTCAAAGAAACAGCTAAAGAATATATGAAATATACATTATTGTCGGTCTATCAGCGCTTAGCAAATGAGAAAGGCTGTGAAGATCTACATATTGCGCTGTGCCACATCGCAAAAGAGAACGCAGGCTTCAAAGATTATATGAGGCCAAAGCGTAGTAAACGTTTCATTTTACGCGTTGCCAGTATTGGTAATATTGAGGCGCATCTTGTGCGCAAAACGTCAACAATTTGTCTGACAAGTGACAGTTCCAATGCGACGTTGACGCAAGCTAATAATTTTAAGGACTCAGCAAATGCGCTTATTACTGATCCCACAATACACGAAACATTTTTAAGCAACGACGATGAGTTCTTAGTGATCTGTAATGCGAACATTTGGCGTGTTATGGATATCGAACGCGTCACACAGGAGATACGTCGTGAAGAGAATATAGTTTTAGCTGCCAAACGCTTACAAGATATTGCACAAAGTTTTGGCGCAAATGAGAATCTGAGCATTATAATTGTACGTTTCAGATATATTGGCACCGATGTGGATGATCTTTTGAAAGAGCTAAAGCAAACGGTACGCAAGAATCCCATCACACAAAATATGAATTGCGATGATAAGCACTCAATCGGTAGTCAACGTTTAATTGGTCGCTGTTCGCCGCGTCAGGTCTTAATGGGCGCAGTGCTGAAAAGTGATCGCTCCTCGCCAAGTGGCCAAAGCGATCAAGTACAAAATTTTCTCAATAAAGGTGTACACGGCGAAGAGTATGCCTTTGCAACCGAACATGTACTTGAAGAGGACGATGATGAATTGGAAATTTTACATGAAACCGATTCAGTGCTGTCAGAAGAACAATTCAAATGTTGGGAATATATGTTGGAACAAAATACACAACTACTCTTCGACAAAGAACTCAATACAATATCCAAATCGATAACGAAAAGTCATAATAATGAGTTACCGGCGGAACTTAATATCAGTCTGGATAAAAGTGAATACAAAGAAAGTAATTTAATAAAAAGTTTTGGTAATCGCTTTATATCGCATAGTTCGCCGCAGTTGTTGTACAGTGAAATTAAAAAACCCTTAACAACATTTGCACACAAACATCAGGAGAAACGTCAGCAGCAGCGTCAACAACAGCAACAACAACAACAGAAACATCAACAGCAAGTATCCTTCCTGTCAAAACATTTCGGCAGCTGTCGTTCATTTCAAACGCAATCTCGTTATAACCTCTTCGAATCGAAAAGTCAAAATTCGGTTAATGTTGGCCTCAGCTCGAAGTGGAGTGGTGGCCCGAATGCTGCCTATTTCGGTTCATTACAACGTCTAATGCCATATAATTTGGAATATGATTTCACAGTTACACAAGATCGTACAGCGTTCAACGAGGAAGATGATGAGTACGATGAACAGGAGGATCGCATGAAAAAATATTGGGGCATAGCGACTACAGAGCTCTAGATGTACATATAATATCTATGTATATGCATTAAGGTGTCCGTTATTTCCCTTAAGGACCTTTTTGTAGCGCAGAAAATTTTATATTAAAATATAATTTTATCAAAGTTCTATGTTTACTTGCTTGCTGCAAAATATCAAAAAATTCCATGTTATATACATGGGAAATGAAACATAATTCAGGCGCAAATTAAATTGAAAATAAGAACTTATTTCGGTTAAATAATTGTTAATGGTAAAAACTGAAACTTCTGGGGCGTCTGCAAAGAAATAATCTTGGGAAATAACGGGCACCCTAATACACAAAGAGTGTGTTCGCCACATTTGATTGCTGGTTAGATTGATGAAAAAATGTTTGAAAAGAGTTGCCATAAGAAAATTCAAAAGTTAAGTCTAACTCTATTTGAGTAATATCCGGTGCATATTTTTAAATTTAAAATAACAATTTTGAAAAATGCTTATGCCACAGTTTATATTGACATATTATTGACATATACTAATATTTTCAACTTAATCACTTAACTGGAAATTCATTCCAATTTCGATATAAAGTTCACCTCCCAGACGATGTTAAAATTGTTTTTTTTTTTTACTCCAGTACATAATTAAGTAAAAGTTTTAATGAATCTCTAAAAATACGATATTCTGATCATAAGTTGATAATATTATGACCTGTTGTTACCAATTATAGATGAACTAGGATTATTTTTTATTGAGTATCCATTCATTAAAAAATATATTAAAAATAAAAATTGAATATTTTATAAATACGCGAAACTGAAAAGCCTTAAATTGAGTTTTGGACCTTATACATACATCAATTAAAATAAAAATATTAAAGTTTATCGAGTGACGTTTATTCAAAAAATAATGAATTTTTGATGATTTGAATGTTAAATCACATTGATCAGTTTTGAAATCGAAGATAACTAAATGCAACTTTTGCGTCACGTTTTATTTTTAATCCAGCTTACACTCAAAATCAAACTTGACTAAGACTGGTCCATTTTAACTGTGAAGTCTCTATATGTCAATTAGTGTGTGTTTGCCACCTGTTAGTTTGCAACGTGAAACGTTTGTCTGGCAATTTTTACGATGGTAAACAAATTGAGCAATGAGTTTGCTTGAAATGTGTTCCAACCATTTTGGTTAATGTTTTTGGTCTGATTTTCGACTTATTGGGTTATGAGATGCCAAGTGAGGAATGGTGATTGTTTAAAAATTTGTTTGCTTGTTATTTTCGTTACATTTCCAATAATTTTTTAAAAACATTAAGAGAAATTTGAGATGATATTTGCTTAAAGTTTTTAAATTTTGATTGTTTTAGAATTTCAAAAATTATTTGAGTTTTTTTGTTAGCTTTCGAAATTTATTATGTAAATAAATATTTTAAGGGAAATCGAAATGTTTGTCATTTAATACTAAATATTAAGAATAAGAATAGATAAACTGTAGATTTATGTGCAAAAATTATTATTTATCGTATATATAAATTGTAATTTAAAAAATACCATATTTAAACTATAAATAAATTTTCAGTTACATAATCATAACAATTGTTTAACAATTTTAAAACTTTTAAATATGTAAAATAAATGTAAGCGGCTTTACAAAATATAAAAAAAAATTTTAACCTTATCACAATACTCATGTATAATTTGTGACCTAGTTCGAAAATCATCAAAACTATTTTCGTTTTCGAAATACTATCAAATAACGGTTCTTTTCTAGGGAAAAAGATTATTTCTGAAAAATCTGCTCATCAATTGAAATAAATGATACAACAAATTAAGGCTAAAAATTCCCCAATTATATATACAGTTTGTGTTAATTATTTATGGTTATTAGAAAAAGGTTTATTTTGTTTAATAATGTTGAAGATTTTTTACTTAGAAGTAGTAATATATTTTAATATGTATTTTGAAACCGTTCTTTCTCTTCGCAAAACTCGAAATGCGCCTGTCAATTTGTATGAGAGCTGATATACAAACTATAGTGGTCCGATATCGGGAAACCGACAAATCCCACGTTTCCTTCTGTACACACTACAAACTTCATGGCAAATGTCAATATACACATACTTTTCGAAATCACAGTTCTCGTAAATAGAATCAGTTATTTGGTGATATCTTTATTACAAATGTATTTGAATTATAAATTTCAAGTGCAAAAAGGTTAGTTGTGTTTTTGTTGTATTTTTAGGTGTTTATAAATCGTTATTTGACCATATTAATAAAAAAAAAAGATTTGAAGAAAAAGTTAGTTTCGCACAATACGCCAAATTTTACAGGAAAATTGTGTAATCTGGTGTTGGAAGCAAAATATTAATAATTTTAAGTGTCTATGAAAGAGTGTCCAATTATTAGTTTGTGTTAGTGCAGCAAAATAAAAAACTGTATAAATAAAAAGTGTTTATTAAAGATAATGTTAATAATTATAAAACAAACATTAATTATTACTAATAATTATTAAATTAATGGCAAATTCAAAATTTAATTAGCAGTGTTTAGAAAAAAATATAAAAAATCGATTATTAATATTAATTAATATTACTTAAAAATGTTCATAATTTAAATAATAATTATTGTTAATTAATAATTTAAATTACTCTAATTAAACTCTTTTAAATGAGTTTATAAAAAAATATTTAAAAAATTTATTATTATTAATAATTTATATATTTTTAAAATTTATTAATTATTATTATATTAAGAATTTTTTTTTTAATGTGTGTGTATGTACATTTGTACCATATGTACTCATGTATATCATAATTTCGAAGCTACATTGAATCCACATTTCTGCTATGCACACTTTCCCCCCGTGCACCTAAAATGACAAACCTTTATTGTTTCGACAATTAAGTAAATGAAAAAAATGCATTATTCTTAACAGTTTTCTTTATTTTTTGTTGTGTGTCAAATAGTTTTTAGGTAATCATGTAGATATAAACATGACATCACTTTCTCGTAAATGATATTTACTAGTTTGTATAAAGCATATGTTTTAATAAATAATTTGTCTATTCTCATTATGTTTAAATGCTTTCTATTTTACACGAATACCTAATGTTTACTTATATGTATTTACAATATTTACATTTATTTATTTATTACGTGGATTTTTATTGTTTCGAACAAATTGTAACACATTTTCCTTGAAGTTTTTTTTTAGTCATAAACAAATCGAAATCACTTGATTTCTTATGAAAAATACCATACATATGTACATAAAAAATTAACATGAATAGATTTTAAATTAAATTACGGCTTTTTGAGCAATTACATTTTGTTTCATTACTTACATACAAAACACATCTACATATACATATTTATACATATGCATGTACATATACATACATATATAATATTAAAATTTACAAAACAAAAACACTGTGTAAATAAATAACTATAATAAAGTTTGCCGTAAATGCGAGAATACGCAATTATACATACACACACATATATATACATATGTACGTACGTATGTATATATATGTATTTAATTAATTTATATAGCAATTAGTATTTAATGTTATAGGATTTTGTGTGTGTATTTGTATTGATGATCATGCTGTTTGGCGCGCCAGTACGAGTAATTGCGCATTTGCAAGTACTTAAGCAATATGCGTGTGTACGAGTATCAGTAATGAACGCCCGGTGTTTGCGAATTCGGATTCGATGTGTTCCCTGAGTCGCCCAGCCAGGAGTCAGGACTTGGTGGAAAATCAGGATAGCCCTGCTCTGGACTAGAATCATTGCTCAAATCCGAAACTGCACTGCCATGTACTCGATGTGCCTTTGACGCGCTCACATTATTCGATGATGTATTGTGTTCTGTAAATTAAAAAAAAATATACAAATTTGTGAAATTTCTTTTTTGTAATAAATTATTGTTCATAAACGCTTTTTTATTTCAAACTGTTAAAAAAATAGTTTTAAAAGATAATTTTGGATTTCAGGCAGTAGCATATTTATACGAGTATAGTTGGCGCTTTTTTTTCTAGAAACTTTTTATCGCATGGTACAAAAATGTGAGCTTATATAAGTTTAAAATTGCCTCTGAATGGCTTTTGAATTTTATGAGATGTCTTTTCATGGCAGTACTCTTTTAAGTGTGCCATTGTTTCCGACGTGACAACCGGTGTTTTAAAAATGTCTTTTAGTTTGATCTTGGAATCAAACTGAGGTCTTGTGGGTTTAACCACGACACTAAAATGACAGAGAAAATTAGATCCCCTGTAAGCATTCGTAAAAGTTATAACTTGATTATTAGTCCATCGTTCTAATATTCCGAGCATACGTTAGAAAGCTACTGTCCTTGTGCGTCTGTTTCAGTATATGTCATTCAATTGAAGCATAAACCACAATAATATTTTTATACCCTGAACAGGGGATATTAAGTTTGCCGTGAAGTTTGTAACACCCAGAAGGAAACGACGCTATAAATTATTAGGTGTAGTAAAAAGAAATCCATCATTTTTCCAATAGATAGCGTTATTTATCTATATCGCGCGTTGTATAAGTCTGATCGGGTTCGGCTAGATGGCGTTAGAAAGATGACATTTCGTACTAAAAAAGCTTTTTTGATTGGTTGATTCAGTTTTGTTTGAGCGCGCGTCAAAGATGGACACTAGCAAAGGGAAAACAGCTAAATATTACAGTTTTTCTGGTGCAAGCCAGGCGGCAGAAAATGTGAAGCGTTTATGGTCCTGATACTGTAACAGCCAATCATTTGCAATTTTTAAACATTGCACAAAAAACCGTTTGGAACCATTTGAATAAGGCTGGATATGAAAAGTAATAATTAAAGCATTCAATTTCAAACAAACATAATGTATTTATTTTTACTACACTTAATATATACATAAATGATCAGCATGATGAGCTGAGTTGATTTAGCCATGTCTGTCTGTCCGTCTGTCTGTATATATACGAACGAGTTACAAACTTTTTAAGCTATCGATCTGAAATATCTGCCGATATCCGACCACTATAGCATATAGCTGTCATACAAACTGAACGATCAGAATCAAGTGCTTGTATGGAAAACTCTTTCATTTGATGAGGTATCTTGAAGAAATTTGGCATGGATTATTGTCTAAGGCAATATTGCAATCTCCGAAAAAATTGTATAGATCGGATGACTATAGCATATAGATGCCATATTAACTGAACGATAGGAAAGTGCTTGCATGGAAAACTTTTTTATTTGACGAGGTATCTTCACGAAATTATAGCTTTGGTGTAACCGAAGTTAACGTATTTTTTTATTTTCGCTCAAATATGTCGAACATGTTCATATCAGGATAGGGTATCAAAAATTGGTTTGCCGCCAAGCTGGAGCAGTTTTTCTGGGATGTGACCCACAAATTGTCAAAAAGATAGGAAATGTTATAACTTCTGATGGGCAATAAAACTATTGTACATGGTTTTCTGAAATAATTAACATGAAATTAGGTTTTATTGTAGGAAATAGACATTAAGAAATTCCTTAAACGACAGTTTAGTCGAGACGAGTGTGAGATTATAAGCTTCTTAAACCATAATCAAAAAAGGAAACCAATCTTTATAACCCTAAGAAGAAAATAGTATATTATAATATATTTCAATCGATTTGTATTTAATACGCTCGACTTCTTGAAAGAAGTTTTTATATTTCGCTAGTTGTTGATATAAAGTGTATTCGTTATATACACCCGACTCTCTCAGGAAATTTTCACTCTACTTAATGAGTTTAAACTAATATTTGATTATTAGTTGTATTATACACTAATATATTAATCTTTATTCTATTATTTGGTTTTTAAGCTGTTAGAATGAAGTTAGATAAAGAGGCATATCACTGGGCGTGGATTACTATGAAGGTCTAAGATCGCAGATAATTAGTTTTTGTAATTTACCATAGTGTTGGATGTATGTATGTCTGAAATCTGTTAACTGTTTAGTTTAAATTGGAAAACAAGATTCTTAGCTGCAGTGCTTGAAAATTTGGTGTTGGCATCAAAGAGAAAGCAGAGTATCTCAAAATCTCTTATGGATCCACTTAACACATTTTGGTAAATGTTTTGGCTATGTAGCGTGTTAATGCTAGACTCGCGCAAAAAGGTCTGCATCTTTTGCAAAACCGACGTCGAGTAGGGGTCATTAAATTTTTTGGATGTTAATGAAGCTGAGGACTGGTCGTTCAATAATTTAGCGAAACCGAAAAAAAAAATTCGCTGAAGGCACTGAAGGCCATCCCAGCCGGGGCTTATAAGAAGTGCATGGAAAAGTGGATCAAGTGTTGGCATGCTGGTATTCTCTGAATGGAGCCTATTTTGAAAGCGATAATAAAGTTTTTTTGTCAGTCCGGTCCAAATTAGATAAGCCTGTAACCTTTAATCTTGAATTAATATTAATACTTTGTATATAATAAATTAAGATTGATTCCATAGAATAGAGTTTGTGTATATGTACATCGACAAACTATCATCACATGAAACGAACCTATGCGATTTATGGTAGTAGTTTGTTCGATTCTATACTTTCGAAGGGTTAGAGAATTGAAGACAATATCCTTTTTTCATATCATATTAGGCACATATTTTTAAGTGCATTATTTACCTATATTTGTATAAACAATATTATCGGGATATGAACCAAATGAGTGATTGTGCCCCACAGGAGGTGGTGATCGACTAGTAGGATATTGCGGTGGACTGGAACTACCGTGCAAATAAGATCCTCTTATGCTATGTGGTGAAGCACCTTCATCTAAACCTAGATTGACCGTGCTGTAGCTATCGTTACTTAAATCTAGAAAGAAAAAAAAAACGAAAAAAATATTTTTTATTTTTAAAATTATATGTATATTATAAATTTTATTCCATTAAAAGCAAACGGTTCGTAGAATAATATGATATATATAAATATCTAAGCACTTACCATGGTGACTAAAACTGTCGTAGTCTACTTTCAACTCATCCTTGTCGAGGAATTTTTCCGTACGCGGAGAACAGTTACCCTTCATTGATCTGAAATATTGACTCCATCGCGTTCGTCCAGCATCCTTCTTCAGTCGTTTCTCCTTCGCTCTCCTATTGAATTTAAATAATATTGCAATAGTAACTTTACGAAATCTTTTTGGTATTCGTTTTTGGAAATTACCTATTTTGAAACCAAACTTGAACGACTCGCATGTCCAGTCCGGTATCTTGTGATAGTTGTTCTCGTACATGTCGTGCAGGCTTAGGGCTATTATTGTAGGCTGTTTTCAGTGTTTCTAATTGTTTTGCTGTAATTGTTGTACGAGGTCGTTTATTTGGTTGATCACCGTCCAATGACCCATCTAAGTAGAGTCCTATGAGTAGGGCAAACGCAAAGATTTATTAAGTTATTCCAATTTTCTGAGGGGTATGTATTTTTTGTGGCGATTATACTAAGTTTATTGAACACACACCCACCTTTCGCCTTCGCGTCCTCATAATCACGTTTACAAATTAGTTTTTTATCTTCCATAAGGTAAAATTCATCACCGGTATTTAGTGTTCGAGAGCATATTGTACATAGAAAACATTGTAAATGGTAGACATTGTCTTGCGCTCTCCGTACCACTTGCGTTGGTGGAATTCCCATATCACATGCGGAACACTTTGTTCCATATCGTCTAGTAGGCCCGAACATTGGAAATGCAGAAGTTTTAATTAGTGCTACTTATTTTAATTTGGTACAGTTTATTTGTTCTATTTGTATTTATAACTTAAAAAATAAAGGTGTATTAATTATGGGGATATAAATATCTCTGTAGTTTCAACAAGAAATTTTTTATTGTCGTGCAATCGGCAAAATCTATTTGTTGCTTTTTTATACCCAGACCAGGTATATTAAGTTTGCCACAAAGTTTGTAACACCGCGAAGGAAAAGTCTGAAACGCTATAAATATATATGTATATATATATATATATCTATAAATGATCAGCACGATGAGCTGAATCGATTTAGCCATGTCCGTCTGTCTGTATATACGAAAACTAGTCCCAAACTTTTTGAGAAATCGATCAGAAATTTTGCACATGTCCTTTTCTACGCTGAAAGCTGCTCATTTGTCGGAACAGGCGTTATCGAACCACTTTAGCATAGACTCATATAGTAGCTGCCACACAAACTGAACGACCGGAGTCAAGTGCTTATATAGAAAACTTTTGTATTTAACACGATATCTTAACGAAATTTGGCACGGTATATTGTCCAAAGCAACGGTGCAATCTTCGAAGAAATTGTTCTGATCAGACTACCATAGCATATAGCTGCCATACGAACTGAACGATCGGAATCAAGTTGCTGTAAGGAATATTTTGTATTTGTGAAGGGTATTATAACTTTGCTTCAACCGGAATCTCCAAATTTTTTTGAACGAACAATTCTACCCTAGGTCACAGTATATATAATATAACCTTATTTAATCACCCAGTCAGATATTAGTAAATATTTTGAAAAATTTCTCAAATTAAAAGAAATATAGCTAAGGGCACCTCTGGCTGAAAAGTACCGGTTTCTCTTTAGGCCATTGCAGACTACAAGTATGAACACTCAGAGGAATAACTTCTGATAAAAGCATGCATTCAGTAGATAATAAGTTTAATTCTCGAACGATTTTTGATTGAGAGTATTTTAAAATTTGTGAGGTACGAATATTTTTTTTACCTTTATTGCCGTAGTCTCTTCCACATGTTTACTTAGCGAAATCGCTTTTATAACTACAGTAACCGCCTGGATCATATATGTAATTATAGGTAAGATCACGATAAAGGAATGATAGGTTTGATCTTCACAACGAAATTCAACCAATACCAGGGTAGCGATACTAGTTTCGAGTTCACTGATAATGCGCTTTTAATTAGTTAAGGCTAAGAAAGCTACAGGCATGATTACGTCGAGCTGTTACGACGATTTAAGGAGATATACTAGTCTAGGGGTCCGAGCCTTTCTTTGGCAATTTAGATTTTTTATACATTATTAACTAATGGATGTTTCATTAATTTGTAACATTTTTTTATATTTCCTCTGACTCTTGCAAGTAACAATAGTATAAAATGTTCGGTTACACACGAACTTAGCCCTTCCTTACTTGTTTAATCTTAAGTTTTGCCACACCTGAAGATATTTTCCCTGCTTTGATCCATGCATGGTACAATAGTATAAAACGTTCGGTTGCAACCGAACTTAGCACTTCCTTCCTTGTTTACTATCCTCTTTTCCATTTGTTTATTCATATTTCAAGAATTTCATTCATTCTTTAAAAATGTATTTTCATAAAGTTATGCGTCCCTGAAGTAGAGGCGGGAAAAATAAAATAACAACGGATTCTTTAAAGTTTTTAAAATAAAAATGGCGCCTTATCGATTTTTTTTAAATATATTACAAATTTAAAACTTTATCTACTTGATGGTAGATAAAGTTTGCTACGAAGTTTGTAACACCTAGAAGGACACGAAGGAGACCCGATAAAGTATATAAATGATTAACGTGACAAGCTGAGTCAAATTAACTATGTCTGTCTGTCTGTTATACTCGTACGCAAACTTCCCCGTCAGTTTTTAAGACATCAAGTTGCATAAACTGGAAGCTTGGCAGCGGAATGAAAAATATTTTTCAACTGAAAATGAATTTGTTCCATTACAATAAGCCAATGACTTAATAGGTTTTAAAAATTTATATTTTTCACTTAGAAACGTTTAAAATTGGAAACAGTGAGACTATTTTATCCCCATAGGAAATATATTAAACTTAAATTTCGTTGTCAATATGAATACGAAAGTGCCTGAGTAAAAACTATATTACAACAACAGCATACTTTTTAAATAATAATTTTGTAGCTTAACTTACTTAAAAAAGTCTTCTTTACAGAAAAGCTGCCCATTCCGCGAGAAGCATTTATCATTTAGTTGGGTGTGACATTCGCTGCATTGCAAACATTTCGCATGCCACGTTCGCTCCAACACTTTCAATATAAAACGATCTAGTATAAGTTCATGACAGCCTCCGCATTTCGGTATAGTAGCTGGAAAGAGAAATATTCGCAAATACATATTAAAATAATAAAACTAAAATACACAAATTTGTTTGGGTTAGATTTTTAATATTATATATATATGTAATTAATACTTTTCTAATATGGAGTTAAAAAATTAAAGACCCTTAGGTAGTCAAGCCATAAGCTTTACCGCACGCTTATATACACATTTACGTCACAATTCACATACTATGACTATTAAGGTTATATTATATCTCTTGCAGCAATTATGCGAATTTGCCACCTAAAGGTATGATTTTACCCTGCATAATTCTTTTTTGTAACACTTGCGCAAATTCAGCCATATCTTTCCAAGAGAGTATGCGAAAATCAATCATACTAATTTTTTAATTGTTTAAAAAGTCAGTTAAGGAGGTATTTGTTAATTGATTTTTTCCTCAGTGCTTTCGTTATTTTTAAAATTTTTTATAGAAACTGTCTAATTGTTGCCGTCTTATTTTAAATAAAACGTATAAACTTGTAACTGAAGCGTGCGACATGAATTTCACAAAACTTTAACTTGTATTTTAATGCGATTCACAACACGTGACGAATTAACAAACACGGATCATATGTTTTGTACAGCTATGCTTTAAAACTGCTTTTGATCAGAGCCGCGACTACAACTGGAACGATCTTAACTGTTGTAAAAGGATTTTGGTAGCATATAAATATATTATTTGGATTTCTGTAAAACAAGTTCGAAATTACTGGTGCATATGTTTTGCCCAATGCTGTTCTTATGAACAACAAACTTTTTTTAAAGGATTTTTGCAAGTTCTATTTCTTGATAGATAGAACAGTAGCAGTGATATTATTAGTGGCTGTGTATCAAAAATGCATATTTTCTCAAATCATACAGTTTCATAAAAAGTAGTTCGAATATTTGAATAACCATTGATTTTATTTTATTGACTTATCTGCATTAATGTTTAGTAATTTACTTATTAACATATAAAAATAATACAGATACATGAATTGTTTAATAAATTTGTATTGCTTTTATTTCAGAAGCCTTTTATGAGAATTCTCTATTAATATTTAAAAAGCCTTCCGAAGTGCCTGCATATCAATCATCCATTAAGATCAGATTAAATTTCAAACCATTAAAAGGTATATTACTTGGTATTTATTATTATTATTATTATTGTTTATTAGGAATAATATACAAATATTAGACCTAATTACATAGAGGAGCACAAGCAACGGTGGCCATCGGCTCCGAATGTTAATACATAAAGAAAAAGCTAAAGTAAAACTTATATTCTATTTTGCAAGTTACATTCTACTAGAAAATTATTAATCTTTGTAATATTATCATGAGATGGTGTAGTTAATAATTTATGATACTGATCAGTGATAAAGTGATTATTCCTAATACTCTAAATTATTCCTAATAAACAATTGTTGAAAATGTGATCGATGGACAAGTTGTTCCCGCAGAAAGAGCAATTTGGTGGCTGCCTCCCGATGAGAATGTGTTGATGTGTTAACTGAGTATGACCTATCCTTAGGCGTGTGAAGATGGTTGATTGTAGGCGACTGATGCTGGTGGGGTAAATTACTTTGTTCCGAGCAGGATTGAGATTTGTGTATCGGTGTTCAAAGCGTCTCCACTCCATAAGACTTTTATTGCGACTATGTTCTTGAAGCAGTTTCTTAACATCATTTTGGTCCTGGGGCTCATATTGAAAGGTTGGCGCTGATTCGAAATATTTCGCTGCATTATCGGCTTACTCATTGCCAAAAATTCCGACGTGGCCAGGTACCCAGAGCAAAGCAACTTTTTGCTGTTAATGTAGATAGCAAAAGTTTCGGCCGTAAATACAGACGAGTGAGGCGTAAGAATACCCCCTGTTATAATAGTTCCATTGGATGAGGTGGCTGCAAAGGCAGTATTTGTTGCTTTGGAGCCGTCTGTGTAAATTGGTGTAAAGTTTCTTTGTTTGTAAGTGTCAACTAGTTCCAGAAATCGTTGTTGAAATGTTGTGTTACTTGTGTTTGATTTTTTTAAGATGTGAAATGATGTATCTATCATGGATTGGCTTATAAGCCAATCAGGTTGCGTATTGGTTTTATTAAAATTCGGTGGTACATTGATTTTCAAAAGTTGACTATATCTGATGCATCGACGAAGAGTCGACTTTAGCCGGAAAATTCTTTGGTGTCTGGAGGCAGCTATTAAAGTCTTATGAAGTTCATAGTTGAGAATGTATAACTTTTGGATTGAGTTGAATCGTGGTATCGTATACTCTTTGTCGCAATGCCGGAAACCCTGCCTCTCCTAGGATGCATTTTATAGGAGATGTAGGGAAAGCGTTAATACTGCGACGAATTGAGGCGTGATAGATGGGTTCAAGTTGCTTGATGTTTGTGTTGGCGCATCAGCCAAAGATATTTAAGCCATAGTCGATCTTGGAGAGTATTATGGCTTTTGTAATATTGATAAGAGTATTGGAGTTTATGAATAATTTTTTGCTTGATATATACTTAATAATATTGAGTCTCTTAGAAAGATTTTTTCTAAGGTTAATACATTGATGATTGGTATTTTTTATATGGTTCTATTTCTTATTATTTTCCGATTTGCCATAAAAAACATCTTGAAAAGTGCTAGTGTAATTTGATTGGTCTTAAAGTTGACAAGAGTTAAGTTTAATAAGTCGATAAGAAAAGTTTCCTTATTTTGTTTTAAAAAAGCCCATTTCTTGTTCTGTTTCATCTGCTTATTCTACTTATTTATATTTGAAAACCGAACAAGATTCAAAAGTTCAACTAACTCACACGATTCCAGTTACGAATTAGCCTGAGACTGACTTTAGTAAAGCTTTCAATAAAGTAAAGCATTCAGTCAGGTTGATGTAATATGTCTGTTGCAAATAGTTTGGTTACTTTTAATAGACAATGTGTTTTTCCCGTAGAACAGTGCAGACCTCTCCTTATGTAATAAAAACTATAGTTTAGAACTAATATTTCAATATGTAGATTTGGGAGTTAAAATGCTTAAGGAAAGTTGGGAGCGTTTATACCATGGTTTTGAAAGCTGGAGTTAAACAATGGTCCAAAAAATTTTAAGACCCGTATATATATACTTAAACTCTTTTTACCACTTTTTTACCACTTTGGTTGGGCCTATATTGGAATATGGCTCTGTGGAATAAAACCCTAGCTACCAAATCCATTCTAGGTTAAGTCTAGTGCATGCAAGTCGTTCGTCTTCCAACACTCACTAACCGAAGAAAAATGCTTAGCATATTATTCTGGTCTCAAGTTAAATTGAAGATCCCGGCCCACTTATCGAGGCAGTTCAGACCTTTGCTGATAAAACTTTGCAAATTTAATTTTGAACTAAACGAATTATTTCGCCTCATATGTCATGATTTAAAAGCTCATTCCTGCAAATTTGGTTTATCTGAATTAGTTTTAAATTTAAAAAAAAAAAACTATAATATCTCTTAATAAATACAATCATAAATAATAACTATAACGTAATTTTAAATCCTATCAGTTTTTAATCTTGTTTTTTAAAAAAAACTCTCTTGCCATTTTTAACTCGGCTAATTTCTCACGTATGCGGATTGTGCTCCTCGCGACGGCTGGGCGAAGCAGTGTAATCGTTGGGTTATTATTATAACCAAAATAAAAAATAAACATGTCTTTTATTGCATTAGTTATTTATTTACATATTTCGATTTTCAATATATGCATATGAGTTGCGGTTTGCAATTCAAACTATAATATTTTCCATTTTAGCGCGCCCACAGTTTGCTAAGAATTTAAAACCGCCGGCATTGATTTAACGGCGAAACTGTAGCTTTAGATATCCAGGAATGCGAGGTCGAGGGTAAGTCCTATTTGTATTTTCTTTAATGCTTCTTCTTTGTCGAAATATTCAGACGAGATGTTCATAGAAGAATGTCCTTAATTCGATTTAAAGCTTGTTAACATCAAATAACGCGACTAGAAAGAACTAGCAACCGCCATGGGTTCAAACCGTCTGCAGGTTAATTTTCCAGACTTAGTTATACACATAGTTGCCATATGAAATGCACCTGTGAAGGGTATTATAGTTTCGGTGCTGAGGAAGTTTAAGTTTTTTCTTATTTTTAATATCTTTGTATAAAAATGATTATTACAATTTTTTTATTATATCAACTTTTTCTAAGCTTAAAGCTTTTTAAAAACCAATAGAAAAAGTTTTGCGAATGCAGCGGGATAAACACCAAAAAAATAACAATTTCGAAATATAATACTAAAACATTAAAAGTAAGTGAATATTTTTATATAATGTGGAACAATTTTATACAAATCAGAGTCTGGAAACATCTAACGATAACTTTTTTTTTAAATAAATATGCATTAACGATTACACCACTGTAGAATTCAACAATAATTAATGTTTTCGTTTATAAGAATCTTCGGTTTGGTTCTTAACAGTGAACATATGGATGAAGAAGTTTACATAAGTTTTTCTCAAAACTCGTTTTATCGACACGGTCGGAGGTATAACTTCCTCAATCCTGTAGCTATTAATTTGAGATATGGACCATGTTTATCAATTGAGGTTAACTAGAGACTGACGTAGAATTATTTGATAAGTTTCATATTTAATTTGTCATAAATATTTTTGTGCCTATTTATTAGTAAATTTGAATTTTAAGTTATTTCTTCGAATGTGTACCATTTTCAGAACATGTAAAAAATACCAATTTTTTTGTAATTGGAAAAATTTTATTTGCACATCCATTATTGTAGGAAATTCTTTTCTGGCTACGAAGTAATACAATAACGTTCGGCTAATAGTCAATTACCGCTTTTTATTTTAAATAAAAATTTAATAAATTTTAAAAAATAATAATTGAATTATATAGATAATATAGACTCCTTAATAATCCGTTTTTGTGTTATGAAGTAATCTACCGTTGGTAAACTCGGCATGTGTGTGGATTTTTATGGTTTTTGGTTATAGTCAATTATTTTCTTCCGTCGCATGTACCCAGAGTCACTACATCCATATTTTCCCTGGTATGCCGGTTATAAAAAAGCCTTTATTAGGATTTCAGTGCATTCAAAGATGATTTTGAAATGTATAATTTGTATTAAACAATTAGAAATGTTAGAATCACTTATTAATATAAAATAAAATCATTTGAACTTTAGATGTCTTTCTTACGTTTCCTCGAATTTTATAGTTTTCACATTTATTCTGTTTATATTACAGTTTCACAATCGGAATTATAATAGAATGTTATATCACTGTTTTTTTAGATTTCAAAGTTGGATTCAATGTTTTTTGCTGGCATGTTATAAGCCTGACTTTGTAACACCCAGAAGGAAACGTTCGAGATTTTGCCATGTCCGTTTATTTGTCTGTGTATACATGAACTAGAGTTTTGAGATATCGATCTGAAACTTTTCGCACGTCTAAGACAATGCTACAAAATCCGAACATATTACTCAGATCCGACCATCATAACATATAGCTATTATAGAAACAGACCGATCAAAATCAAAATAGGGATCTTTTAATACCCTTTTTATGCCATAAAAAATGTAACTGTGAAGGATATTATAGCTTCGGTGAAGCCGGAGTTAAGGTTTTATTTTTTTTTATTTGCTCGTATCAAAAATTAAAGCATTGTCATTATTTAGTTATTACTATAAAATTAACCGCCGCATTGCAAATGCTGCATCCGAAACTTTTATCTGCCGCCGCTTGAGAAGTAAAAACGTGTAGTATTAAAATTTTACAATATTTTACATTGTCTCAAAATTTGCAGTATCGAGTTCAGCTGTTTTGAAAGACGTTTTCTACATATTCAGGCTGGATCTGTCGGTAAATGAAAAATAGTGTGTATTTTTTTTGGGAGTTTTCCTTTTGTTTCCATATATTTGTTATAATACCTTACAAAACTTTACAGCTGGCAACATTGTTATTTTTCACTATAATTTAATATAATTATTAAAATATATTTTCTTGCATTTTTTAAACCACATGCATTTCGTCTGGCACACTTACACAATAAAAATTCTGGCAATTGACTCAAATTGATTGGTGGTACACGATCATCACATTTTCCTCCACCGGAACACAGAAAGTCACTTTTAAACATCATAAGTTTTAAAAGTTCCATCCTGTTGATTTCGAAGCGTCACGGCACAGCACAGCACTAAAAAACGACCGTGCGGTGTTTGCAACGCTCACACATAATCCATATTAATTGCAATTAAAAAATGCCTACTTTTTTAGGCCTTACGCGCACAACCGTTACACAATACACAATTGCATAAGGACATAAAATTTAAGTAATATAATTCTAATTAATTTAGCCTTTTCTTAAACAAAAAAAGTGGCACACAAAAACACTGACGAGATCTCTAACGGACAAGTAAAAATCGACTCTCGAACAACGGCGAAACGTCAGCGCGAGTGTAAAGTACATTCAAAAATCGGCCACACCGTACACTAAGTGGATAGTAGAGAATAGTAGTCGTCGCGAAAGGTGCGTCTCGTACCGTACTGACGCTAACCGAATCGTTGCACTACAAGCCCATCTTTACGGATGGACGGTTAGGTTAGGTGTGCTCTCTGCAAGTGCACTCGGTAATTCAGGGGTAAAAACGGTAAACAGCTAAATATACATACACACATCCATACAATGAATAGTTGTAGCTATGAAAACCATAACAACAACAACGCCGACAAGCAAATAACTGCAAAACGAATGCAATAACAAATACGAATACAAAAACAAAAAGAACTAAATACAAACCAAGTTGATAACTTTATGCTGGTATTGTTTCCTTTCTTGTTATTGCTGTTCTTGTCAGATTTGTATAAAGTTGCTGACATAATCGCGCGGTGGCCCTACCCTCAAAATCAGGCTGAAAATTGTTGCTTCCAGTGGAAAATGGAAGAAAGCGCTTTGCTGAATCTATTGAGCAACCACCAGCGCACACTGAACACAAGGGGCACATTTACATACACACACATACACATGTACAAATGTACTTAGTTTTGTTAGTGTATTGCTATGAACTTGCAAGGTAACGTTGGGGTTGGTGGGCGTGAGGTTGGCTGGCTGACATTCTGTACATTCGGTTTGTTGGTACGGTTTAATGCTGTTCGTACCCGTTTGACTTTCGGTACATCGTGAGCGGATTGTGCGCTCAACACTTTATATCGGATGGATGGCTGACTCGTTGGATGGTTAGCTGACTAACAGGCTGGCTGGCGGCCTGTCTGGCTGTTTGACTGCTCGGGGTAAGTGTTGCATTTTCCTGGAGTTGTTGTTGAGCTCCAGCAAAGTCAGTCGGGTCGAATGCTCGTTTTTACCCATACAACGTACACACACATATATATATATATATATAATATATATATACCTACATGTATGTATGCTTGTGTATGGGCTGCTTGGGTTGGTCCTTCTGTGCTTTCAACTTGCTCTATGCAGTGCCAACTTTTGCCAGGATACAAAGTGCTTTTGCGGCTTCAAGCACGCAGCTTTGTGAGACTCCAATTGGAAAGGCGGGGAAGGGTCGACGAAGAGAGTTTGTGTGTTATTGAGATGTTTTCTATTGCGAGAGCGCGTTGAAGCGCTTTTCAACTGATCTGGATTGGTTGTTTTGTGGGTTCGCATTTTTAGGGAGTGGTCTTTTAAATGTGTATATTTATTTGCACGTTTGCATGTTGATATGTAAATATATACCCATATACATATATATTGTTAGTTGTTGAAACGCGGGTGCGTATTTAGTGTGTTTGGATTGAATTTGCTTTAGCTTGCAGTTACATACTTTAACATCGTTATATGTCGTATTTACTAATATATCTATCTATGTGAATGTGTATGCTTATCTATGCTTCTGTACATAGATATATGTATGTATAAGTCTATCAAGCACTTAAAGCTTATACCTTTGTACATAACTATCGAACCGAGCGATTATAATGTGCTACATATGTGCATAACTGACTGCTTTGAAGTTAAAACGACTTTTGTCATCTTTATTATGCCTGTTTGGTTTAGGCATTAAAGTGACCTTAAATTGGTTATTAATGTGCATGCATAGATACATATAGATGTCTATAAATAAGTTTGACAATAAATTCGTAAGTAAATATATTATATATCAATTATTTATATCATATATATACATGTACATGTACATACATATCTATGTACATATATAAATCATATATTTTTAAATGTTTGACAGTAAATGCAGTGACTTACAATTACAATTTACCAAATACAAATACATACATAGTATATACAGTTATGCGCACGAAAATAGCAGTGCATATTTAGGAATGAGAAGAGGTAGTATGTTTTCAAAAAGTAGTACAATTCAAATTTAAATCAACGTATTTTCGGATACTACTACATGGACGAATACCAGCAAATATATGTATGTATATAAATACCATTATATTTATTTCAAAGGTAGATTCATAAAACTATCAGTAAAACCACAAACTACTTAGAATTCACGAAAAAAAACCAAAAATGCCAATAGTTAACTAAAACAAGTAAGGAAGGCTAAGTTGGTTGGCTCCCGATTACGCCTATTTGCAGTACGAACCTGCCTTGGGTGCCAAAGAACATATGTAGCAAGTTTCATCAATATAACTTATTTTTATTCAAGTTATCGCTTGGACAGATAGACGAATGGACAGACAGTCAGACGGATTTCAACTGGTCTCATCATCTTTTATATATGTATAACTCCATATCTAGTTCGATGAGTTATGTGGACAAAACTATTATACTCTGTGCAATATAAAAGTATTTTATTAATCCGTATTTTTCCAAAAACATATTACATGATACACATTTTCGATGTCACAAAATTAAGCTGGCAACTCTCCTTCGCCATTATTGTTGTCTTTAAAAAAATCTTTGCAGACCTCCTGGTATTTCTCGACTCTTTCGCCGTATTAAAAAGCCAATATATGCGATATTTCTTCGTATTCGATAAGTCGAAAATATTGCAGTTGGTCTACAGTGCCTTAAATTCTATATGTATAGGCCATCGACCACTCTATGAGAAGCAGCTAGCTATAACTTAAGGTTATGCATTCTTCTCGATGCAAAAAGTATACAAATATATTCAGATCAGTTTTGATGATTAGAGCTTAGGAAGTGATACTTCACCTTCATCTGTTCATAAAATATTTCGTTATTTTGCTTTTTACCACTTTATGTGGATATTTGCAAACATAAATAAGTTTTGTTAGCGTGTGGGTTGCTGTCTTTTAAATTGGTCTTCTGATTGCTCATATACTCACATCATGGTTGAAGTCATCCTTCACCTCCTGAGAGCTAATATTTGGCTGCCTTCTAACTAATTCAATGACTTTTCGGAAAGTTTATTTGTCCTTTTTCGCCAAATATTGTTATTTTTTTCTCAATTTTAGGAAACTGGACACAGTTTTAGTCAAACAAAATTTATTTTTATTTTTTGTATATCCTTGCATTTTTTCTTTAAAAATTTTAACGTTTTGGTAATACTGCTTGGAAAGGAAAATTCTATTTTACTTAATTTTTTTTTTGTATTTAATAATTCTAACTGAGTTGTCTTAACCATAGTGAGACGCTTAAAGCGTAGGTAAATTTTATATTAATTTTCACACTTAGAAAGGTTAAAGCTGATTTGCCATTTTTATGAACAACTCATAAAATCGATCGAGGTGAAATGTACTTATAAAATAGGGCTACGCTTACCTCAAGCAAGTAATGATTTTCTACACAGATTTTTAATCTGAAAAGTTTTAAGCTATTGCAAATAGATCACTTTTTTGTGCATTGAAGTATATCCAAACTAGCGCTGCTATTAATATGAACATAACTGTATGTACACATACTGCGTAAGTACATATGTAGGTATGTATATAATAAATGCCTCCTTTGTAAATCATCTTTAATACTTGTAAAACATACATTTTTATATGCCTTTCACGGTGATGATTGTATTTTCTATAAATTATATTATTATGTATATACCTAAGCTCTATATACATATTAAATACTTTTATTGTTGCAATTACAATATTTTGGAAAGCTTTGTCGTGTATCTGTAACTGGTAAATTATTAATTCTGCCGAATATTTAACTAAGTTTAAAGTTTAACAAATTTTATTGAAGAATTTTTGGATATATTGTAAATATTTTATGACTCCACAATATGTATTAGTGCTAATTCTTATATTTTCAATTTCAAATTAAATTGATTAATTTTCAATTATGAATTCTTTAGAAATTTTTTATAAACGAAAAGTGTTAAAAAGTAGTCGTTTGCTCTGACACAATCCAAAGCATAGGTTCTATTTGATGTAGTATTTATTCACTCAATGTATACAAGTCTTCAGTTTGGATATAAGAAAAGTCGTTTGTCGTGATAAATTATTAGCGCAACACCATGGTAATCGAAAAACAACAAACAAAGTTTTTGCTCAAACCTGGTTTCTTTGCTCTCGGCTCAGTTAAATTCTTTCATGGGGATGATTGGGATCTCGGATAAGGTAAGACCCTTTTGAGCAATTCAGGGTCATAAGTAGCATTACTTTCTATCGAAATTAAGTAGTTTAGGCATAAACTCTTTTCTTGAGTACTCCCCAATGCTATCTTCTTTACTTCTTTAACGTTATCGCTAGTTGTTGACATAGTGCTGCGTCTGGAACGTGTTTAGCCTATAAGATGTTCTTCTAGACATAGCTTGTACCACTTATAATGATTTCTTTACATATAACATTATAGCCTTTCATTAGTTGGTTATACTTCTTATAGTTACTTTTTGGCTGAATTCGATTTGCCAAATCTTGGCGATTAGGGTTATTTGTTGGTAATACATTTAGTATTTCTTTATGTCAATAAAGGATAACCTTCCTTTTTTTTTAAATCTTACCTAGCAAAATTTGTAGGTGCAAATTACCCCTTTAATCTGCGGCATCTTATTTATATGATGTATTTCTCAATAAAATTTAGCAAAACAATTGTGAATGAAGAGAGCATCATGCATGATGTTTTGTGATTGAGGTTTAGTTCAAATGTAATCAAAATTTGATCGTATGAGATGGCGTTAGTACATTGTTATTTATAGTAATATTCTCAAGCCTTACTACTCTGGAATATGATCAAACTTTTCAAAAATACTTTAACCAACTTAATTTTTTTTTATTACAAACTTGACTGTAGAAATTCATTAGATGAGCTGCAACTTGCAAAAACATTATATATGAGTTTATCACCTCGTGTTATCTCTTGAGCTTTTTTAAGAGCATAGCAAGAATCCGTTGATTTTACACGTGGTGCTATATTTTACCCTGAATATATTAAGTTCGGCATTCTTACTAGAACACCAATAAAAAACTAACCTAAAAAATTCCTTACATCGCGTGCGCTGCGATTAATATTGATAATAGAACAAAATAATACACTGCGACTTTACAGAACATATAATTATCTCCAATGTGTACTATGTCTAACTGTTATAGTTACATCACAATAAATGTTCTTTTATTTATAAAAATAATTGAAATGTCTCCTCTGTAAAAGCTTTGGTCGCTTGATCGCCGTTCAACTCGCTCGTCTAGGTTGACACATAATATGCGATGTAGGCGTCATTTGCGGGAGGGGAGTTATTGTCAAGAAATAAAGTACAGCGCGGCTCACACGCCCAGTTGGCTTCCTACGAAGCGGTCGTGTGCAAAATTGAATTTAAATAATATTAAAATTTCACATCATCGTCTATATAAGGTCCTCTTCCCTAAATGGGCTGGTAAATGGAGTGATCTGCTATTATAAAATAAAGTGGCTAGAAAGAACTAGCAAAACATCTTCCGTTGGATGCAAACCGTTAGGTGGTTATGTTTTCAGATTTAGTTATACTTAATATAGTTGCTTTAAGAAATGCAAAAGCAAAGGGTATAGCTTCGGTGCAGCCGTATAGAAGATTTAACCTATTTTGTGACAATTCAAGTTACAATTAGAGTTTGTATACTTTGCCGCAAAGTTCATAGAGTCAGGACTTAAATGAGACAATTATAGCGATTGTATGGTAGTGGTACTATGCTAGTCTATAGTAAGAACGTCATTGCATGTGGAACTATATACTGTTAGATGATGAAGAATCCTCCTATTAATTGTTAATGCTAATTGATCTCTTTAGATCCTTGTGATACAGGTGTTTCGCCGTGAAGAAAATGCGACTTAATAATATAATTTTTGCGGCGAGCTTCAGCACACTAATGCAAACATCTAACTATGTACAATATATAGAAGTAGTAATTTTACATTTAATTTGAGTTCATCATGTACTACATATTCCGAATTCTGTCATGAGACCGCAGGTTATTGCTGTATATTAGTATTACATTCATATATGTATGTGCAAGTATGTAGGTACTGAAATAATTTAAATACATATATATTATGTATATACACTCATGCATTTGAAACTATAATTTAGGGATACAAAAAGTCAGCGTGTCTGACATAACATATAATATATGCTCACTATAAATTCGTTGCATATTGTTACAGTGTCTATAAAACTACAAAAACTCGGTGACAACATCACCGAGGGAGTACCTATGAATTGTCATTAAATACAATAAAATGGCAACCATTCGTTAAAAGTAAACAAGTCAACAATGTCTAGGATGAGAATTAAAAAAAATCCAACCGAGTAATCGTATCCTTACACTTATGTAAAAAGGGCGTGCCGCAAATGCCTCCCCACTAGTTGACTTCATATCGACGCATGTCCAGGGGTTGTAAACGCTGCAAGTGCAGAGGAGTCGCGATTTCTTGAATGTAAATAAATATGTATGTACTTATGTATGAGTAGTTGCAAAAAGGTGGGTGGACTCATTGCTTGTTTTGGGGTGGAATTATATTTTTTTCTCTTTCGTATACGGAATAAGTGAGACATTTACCCCAATACACATATACAATACATACAACCGTTTATTCATATATTCTATAATAAGATGTACATACATACAGTACTTGAAAATATGTTTGTATATATGTAGTTCGAATTATGCGTAGAAAGTTTTTAAGTCTACACACATCCTTAGAAAACATTTTGTATTTTCTAAATTTCGTTTCCCAAAATATAATTTGGTGACAAAACTTTTGTAAGAGTATATATTTGCTATTTGTTATCCCTCTCAACTGTCAATTATTATTTCAGTTGTTTTGACATATCAACTTGTCAGTTGCTGCCATTTTGTAGATATTTTTATAGGAAAAGCTGTAATACTTTTAGTAAGTACTTTAATTCTCTTTTGGAGACTAGATAAAGAATGGTTAAAATATAAGTATCTGCACATTAAGGGGGTTCTTAAAGAAACACACAAAGGATTTTAACTGTTTAAAAACGCAACAGGTAACCGCACGTCACATACGGAATAATCACAGTGATGATTGTTAAGTCATGTCATTTTTGTAGGGCTTCCCATCGAAGGCAAAATAAAATAAGTAATTAAGTGTAAGTTCATACTATTATCAAGAGTTTCATTTATTTATTTTATTATATGAATTTCAATTATATATCTTACACATTGACTGAGATTTTCGGTAAACAGTCAACTATAGGCACTGGGATCGACATATTCAGTACCTATTGGCTTGAACAGTTTTGGTTCGATTTAGACAATTTTTGGTCACAAGGTGGCATACTTTAAACGTATTATTCACGCAAAGTTTTACCGCGATACAATAATTGTTGCTTGATTTTCATAGTCGAAAGTGAAAGAATCAGATAGAATCTAAAATGGTGTTCTATGGGAAGTAGGCGTGTTTGTAATCCGATTTCGTATCGAATTTGGTTGAAATCAATTAAGCAAATCGCAAGATCTTGTCACCTAAAAGTGGGCGGTGTCACACCCACTGTATAATTTAAAGCGGTTCCTATAAAGACCATCCCAGGGACCCAGGGATAAAATTTAATGTCTCTGCCGTGTTTATCGCGGTTTTAGTAGTTTTTAACAGTACCGTTATATAGGGAGTGGGCGGGGTTGTCACCCGATTTCACCCATTTTCACACCGTCGATAGGGGTGCTAAAAACATTTGTTTCCAGTGAGTTTTTTAGTATAGCTTTAGAGGGCAGGACCACGCCCACTTTTAAAAAATATTTTAAACTGCAGATACCCTTCCCTATTGTGGTCTTGTATACCAAATAATGGCAATTTATTTGTTTTTGATTAATGACGCTTTGTGGGCGTGGCAGTGGTCCGATTACGAACATCTGCAATACTAACCGTCTTACCCTATATTCAAATCGATTAGTTTTAGGTAATACAAACAACCGTTAGTTGAACAAAACTATTATACTCTGTAGCAACAGGTTGCGAGATTATAAAAAAACACATTTTACTATTCGTTTTCCAAATTTTCTTGTGAAGTTAATTCAATTTTGTTTTTATTTTAGAATAAAAAAATATCTGAACTTATACAAAATTAAAAAGCGTTTCTTTCAATCACAATAATATCACATAGGAGAGGAATTTTTTCATTTTAACATTTAAGGATATCTCTAATATATTTATATCTTTTTTGTAAGTTTAGGTTCAGGTCCTGCATTCAGGTCTTAGCATTTTCGATATCAAACTGCTCCCCATCACAACACTGGACCTTAGTCCAATCCCTGTTCTGACCAATAAAACAAAAATTGCTATTTATATTTCTGGTCATAAGCATTGTCATGGACTGTCAGGACCATATAATTTTTATATGATGTTTACCGAATAAAAAGCACAAGAACACGATTGTGGTGCAACAAAATCAAGATGAAGATTAATTTCTAAACGCATGTCAACCCAGAATTAAACAAAAATCAACTGTTTGCGTTAGATTCACATGAGATTAGATACAAACATTGTTTAGATCTTAATCTTTTATTTGAAATAATACACAGAAATATTATTAAAATGTCCAATTTTTGCCTCTTACGTTTAATGGCGTTTGTAGTTTGAACAGTCCGTCCGATTTTCTACCACTCCTCGAGTAAAGCCAGCCTTATTTCGAAAAAAACGCGTAAAATGTGGGTTTAAATTGCAGCTTCATCAGCATAGACTATCGTAACAACACCAAAGGTAGTCTAAGGTAGTCAAATAACATGATCTATTTTATCAATTAGCAGCCTATTTTCTTGACATGCTCGGTCCCCGAAGGTTCGTACCAATAAATTGAGTATTTGATTTTAGAGTATAGCAAGCTGCATCGTACTACTGGAACTTAGATCTCAGCATCAGTTGACTTCGTTAACCAAAAAGTTGCGAATCATTTGTCTGTAACTTTCATCATTGAGGAGGACGTCGGCAGTTCAGTTTTTAAGAGTATGGATAAGCAATACATTCAGCATGCAAACCTCAAAAGGCAGGACGTGATGTTGGAAATAAACGTGGGCCCAGTATAAGTGTTTCCATAAAAATTTGCTATATTATTTTGAGTATAAAACTAATAAAAAAGAAAAAATGTTTTGACAGAATTTAACTGTACCTTAATTTTTGATTTCAAATTACAGACAAAAAAATCAGTTCAACTTAAACCAACAAAATTATTTAATTCTTATGTTAATAGTATGTAATAAATGAAATTTAATTAATTCTTAATTTTTAGAACATAATTTAAAACGTATTCTCTTGAATATATTTAAAGACAGTTCGTTCAAAAAAATATAAAGCAATATGTTGTTGTTAAATAAAGAGTCTGCGAAAAAATAAATTTCTTTATTAATATCTGTTCACAACCAAATCCTCGTTTGCTTGCGAAAACATTTCTATATATTCCTAATTTGTATGTACACTCATTTGTAGGAAGCTCTTTAACTTTAACAGGCCGTTTGGAAATTACGATTTGAACCTAAATGGCAAAACTTTTTGTTAGTCGGCATTGTTTTAATTGCAAATATCATGAAAGTGAGATAAGCGCCCGGCAACTAAATTTTGCTCATTTTGGTCAGTGAGCGACTTTTTAATGAGAGTTAACAAAATGCTGGCGCGTGCTAAACATTTTTCTACTTAAATATTCATTATACTTACACACTGACACACCTGCGCCCACTGAAGGGTGCGTTATGGGCTTACGCAATGCGCGCAGAAACGACCGAATATTCTGCAAGCGTGAATAAATGACCTGAAATTAACTTTAAATGGAGTTTAATGCATTGCGTGTGGTCAAACTAACGATGGGTCTGCACGTTATCCGACACTCACCATGAGGTACTACAAACACTATTGGCCACTTAGGTGCACTCGCATAGCGTTTTCATAATAATATATTTGTACATTTAACAGTTGGTCTGCATTTGTAGGTTTTATCTGTATAAAGATATTCTAATTTTGAACACATCTGTTGTTTAGGTTAGATGTTTATGAACGTGTCATATCTCGATTTTGGCATTTTCACAACTTTGTCTTCATGGTCGTGTTTGCAAGAATACCGCTCTTTTTATTATATAATCACTGAATACGTTTTAATCTAGTTTATTATATTCACTATTATAAATAAAAAACAAGTAAGGTAGGCCTAAGGTCGGGTGTGACCAAACACTTTATACTCTTATTACTACGAAGCTAGAATACCCTTCACAAATAAAAAAGTTTCCATTCAAAAACTTGAATTTGCTATAGCCGTTCGGACTGAAAAATTTACATGGTATTATGTAGTAATGACCTATATAATAATGCTTGCGAAATTTTGTGAAAATAGATTGTCAAATAAAAGAGTTTTCCTTACAAGAACTCGATTCTGATCGTTCAATTAGTATGGCATCTATATGCTATAGTGGTCCGATATCGGTGGTTTCAACAAATCCTTTCCAATTATGAAAGGATTACAAGTATATATGGTATCTTATTAACTATAGTATAAGTTAGGCGTACTTTGTTGCATTACTACATTTTGCTTCATGTTTCAGATATTTAGCTCAAATATGGTAAGTATATGTGATATAAACTCAATCAAAGAGGCAAAATTTAATGTATTTTTTATATGAGGAAAAACTCAACTAGAGGATCCAAAACCTTTATATTAGGAATATGACGTTTAGTCCAAGGTCTAGACCAATTCATTCTTATTCAGCGTAAACCACATATTTATACCCCGAACAGGGTATATTAAGTTTCAGAGATACCATATAAAATATATATATAAATGATCAGTTGTTGATATACATACTCCCGACCTGATTTTACACATTTTTGACGCAAGAGCACAAAATTATCAGAAACAGATTCTGTACGTATTTCATCAATGTATCTCACAAATGATCTTTTAAGTATTTATTTTAATTCGGCCATGAGCACAGGTGTTCACGTATTTGGAACTTGAAAAGATATGGTACGATTTCGACAATTTTTAGACAGCACTAACATCATTGGCTCTCGATTTATGCACTGCAAAGTGAAAAAAATCTGTTGGAATTTAAAATTGTGATAGGAAGTAGGCGTGGGTGTAATGTTGAATATGGTTAACTTATTATTTATTTATTTATTTGGTTATTAACTTATTAAGGGGCGGGACCACATCCACCGCGATTAATTTGATATATTTTCCATTACGCCGGAAGCTCTAGATGGAAGGAATTCGTTGGCTTAGCTTTACTGCTTAATTTATATCGAAAAACCAGCTAAAAGTGAAAAAGACTCATGCAAAGTCATCATTTCTTAAAATAAGTTACTAATTGCCAATAACAAAATAGGATTCGAAGAGAATATAACAAAAATATAATAATCTCCAATAATGTATTGACTTTATGCAACCTGATTGAATCTAATCCGAGTAAAAGTTAGAAGCACTTACGAGTGGCATTCATTAATTGCAAGGACAACGGCGATGACTCCTCGTAAACTATGCATAATATGGATGTGGTCGTGGTAGTAGCGGTCTGGGCGGTCGCCCTTAATGGCATTACATCGCACAAGTACTTTATGTTGTTTTTGTTTTCTTTTTTTTGTGACTACATAACAGTTAATGTGAATGAAGGGTGAATGAATTAAATAGAGCGCGGTAATAAGCAGACATACAAACATCGAAACCAAAAGTGGGATTTCCGCCAACTAATGTCCTGATGTTCGCTTGCCTGTATGTAAGTATGGATATACGTATCGTATGTACGTTTGTAGATGCACTATTTATACCAAATGTAAATAAAGGCACAATATCTGACAAAAAATTCAAATGAAGTCACCAATAATATAAGTGAGATGTATACATAAATATATCATACATACCCAGCAGGGAACTATAAAGCTTTGGGACTGTTTTTATACCCTGATTATTTTAAGCTGAGCCCATTTAGCCATGTTTGTAGGTATATACGCGAACTAGTCCCTCAGTTTTCGAGAGATCCATCTAAAATTTTGCACACAGTATTTTTTCCCCAAGAAGTTATTCATTTGTTGGAACCGCCGTTATAGGACCACTATAGCATATAGCTGTTATACAAACTGAACGATCAAAGTCAAGTTCTTGTATGGAAAACTTTTTTATTTGACAAGATATCTTCACGAAATTTGTAATGAATTATTATCGAAGACAAATGTTTTTTCAGACACATTGTTTAGATCGGATAACTATAGCATATTGCCGCTATACGAAATGTTCGATCAAAATCAAGTTCTTGTACGGAAAACTTTTTTATTTGACAAATTATTTTCACGAAATTTGATACTGATTATTGTCGAATATACCCAAAGGAATTGTTCAGATCGAACTATTATAGTATACAGCTGTTATACAAATTGACCGATCAAATCAAGATAAAGATCTTTTAATACCCTTTTATCCCATAAGAAATGCATTTGTGAAGGTTATTGTAGCTTCGGTTCAGCCGAAATTCACTTTTTTTATTGTTATTTGAAAATCTGATGTTTGTCAAACTCAAAAAGCCATATAATGCGAGGAAGAAAACAAAACTCTAAGTCGGAATAATAAAAAGTTAGCATCAGTGGCGACATCCAAAGCAGTGAGGTTTTTAAATAATGTGTTTTCTCTTCTTCAATACTCGTAGTACTAAAAAAATTTAAACAGCGTTTTTTGGGTTTTGATAGGCAAAGTCTCCGAATGAATATCATGTATGATAAAACTACTCATAAAAGTGCAGTAACTGTTTGTCTAATAACCTGAAGTACTTAAATTTAGTAGATCCCTCCATTGGTACAAAAGCTCTGAAAAACATATGCGCGCCTAAGTGTATGCAACAGCTATATTTTACTAACGTTGATTCGATCTGAAGATGACATTTGTATTCAGCTCTTAACAGTAGAACTGAATGTTGAACGGTTAAAAAACCCATTTTGTATGTTGTTTTAGATTAAATTAACACTTAACTAGTCTAATCTGATATACTCTTCATATATAATATGTAGTTATATATTCTTCTGGATGTCATAATATGACCTTGTCGACAGAACATAACTGCATCATCGCCTCTGAAATAATTTAATAAACACCATAGTTGAGACAACAACAATATAAAACCGTAGCACTTTTCATCACCAATTCAAAATGTGTTTAAAATCTAAGATTTTTTGAAAAATTTCGTAGCGTCCTGATTGATTGCTTGCAATTGTTCGGATTTCAGAGGAACCTAGTATCTTATAAGGTGGGGAGCCCCTCGATCAACTCCAATAGCTTTATAATTATATCACCTCTGCATCTTGGTTGAGACTTGGCCGAATTATTATTACAATTGTTGCGTGTACATAGATGCTCTCCGATAAAAGGGTGAAGGAACTAAGAAAGACCCCCAACGATGACTGAGCTTTATATGATGCTTTCCATTACGAAATATTTTCAGAGATTTGTATAATCTTACTAAGGGGTTATAAAAAAACTTTTGTATTGAACAGAATAGGGCACGAATTCAACCGCACTTCTAATCACCAGACCAAAGCGATCATTCGCCATGCCCTCATATTGAATATAGGCTGAAGGTCCGCTAAATATTATAAAATGTAATCAGAACAAACGAAGTTGACTTTTTCGAGTTCAAGGGTAACAAAATCTAGCCGTATTTACGAAAATTAGTGCTTTTAGGGGACTTTCATACAGTATTAAGTAAAATGAACTGTCATAGACAAATCTTATAACCGTAAGGTACGAAGAATACAAAAATTTTATTTTCTGAAGGTATAGACCCATGACAGGCGTTTCAACGTAAACTGAACAGACCCGGCTTTTTATCCGGCCAATGACTGTTAACTTGACAGCATTTCTTCAAATTACTTCAGGGATATTGTCTGCCGGTTCAACAACAACAGCAATACAAACCATCCTCATAATTGCCGTACTCAATATCTTTCGAGCAATTTAATTGCGACGTCGTTTAAAAAAAAAATCGATAGTCTTAAAACGACTAAATGCCTGCCAGACGGATTTGCGACAAAAATTTTACTACTTAATGAAATATGCGCTGTCGAAACTGGGAACTTGTGGATTTTATCACTATAGACAATAAAATTGTATCAAATGCGCCGCATTTCGACCATCTGCAAGTTGAAACGCAAGTATTGTACGCGTCATCGTGCTTGTACTGCGTTTTTCGTGCCTAT